TATGACCAAAAAATTGGACCAGAACTTCAAATAAAAATATGTAATGAAGACTTACGACCAAAAATTTTGGAAAATACTCCACAATGTTATATAAATTTAATGAAAGAATGCTGGCAAAGAGAATCAAGAAAACGTCCATCAGCAGAAACTCTTCGTGAAATATTGACAAAATGGCAAAATGATGAAAATAGTCTAATTGAGTTATCTAAATCTGAAAAAATCCGAAGTAATAACATGCAGGAAGATTCAAAAGCTGATTATAGAAGTAAATTCATTAGCTATACTACATCTTATTATCGAGGTAAATAATTCGGTTCTGTGACAGGAACGGTACTTAGGCATAGTGTCCATGTTTGTGTACAATACCGTACTACATACTATGCTTAATGGTACTATGTCGACATTTACAGAATCCTAAAAATAATGCATATTTGTATATATTTCGTGTTCACCCATTTGAAGTTGCACTTGACCGAAATTTTCCTTAAAATTAATTTATCCTGCAGTATTAGTAATTTTGGGCAGGTGCTAACTTCAGGCACACATACGTATTGTGAATTGTAAGACTGCAATTTAATAATGTTATTTACTAATTTTATTCATAGACAGTGGACTAAATAAAATATCGATTCCGATAGGCGGGCCCGCTTGACAAATATTAAACCGGAATACTTATTCTTATGATTCATTGAAATTGGTTAGTTAAAAACTTTATTTGTTTTGGTTACTATTTCAGAGGTCGTTCAGGGGTTTGTTAAAAACATGTTTACGAAAAAGTCAAATTACAATTTTAACAAGTATTAAAAATACGTTATTTTAGGAGAGTTAAAATTATGGCATAAATTAATTAACTTGTAGTCTCAAATACCAGTTATTTATTCCGGTTTTTAAAATATATGTTGTTATGGTGTTTAGCACTTACAATACAATAAGTTTAAAAAATAAATAATAAATTACTTTGTTTTGAAAAAAGGTTAGTTTGCAATCGGCATAACTTTTGAAAAATGAACAACCGTAAATACTAAATATTATCTACGTTTAGCAACGTATATTAAAATAGTAATTATGTTGAAGTTCACTTGTCTTTTTCTTTTTGATAAACAATTAAAATGCCAAAATATACGTAATAGTTATACAATGGATTAGGGATGCATGCATCTCTACAATGCGAGTAATGAGTGGCACGAGTATAGACGAAAATTTTATTTTCGCTAATACACATAGAACCCAGTGTAAAGCTGTTTTATACCCTGGGGTCTTGATATAATGACCAGTATATAGAAGGGCTTATATGTCTTAAAATAAAAATAATCATAAAAAGTAAACAAATTATTTATAAAAAAGTTAACTAGAAAGAGGTTGACTTTTCAATGCGTAAATAACTATCAAGATACAAGTCAATATAATTAGTCTATAGAAATTATATCTTATGTGGATACTTTTAATTCTAAAATTACATTGCCACAAATTATAATAAATTTGGAAATTAAAAACTTATTATTTTTAAGCTTATTAAGAATTCGTATCGATCTAGACAGACCTCTCTAAATGTATAGTCGAGGGCGGCCAAAGAATCTTGCATTTATAGAGGTATTGCATTTATAGAGGTATTGCATTTAAGGAGGCAAAAATCTATAAGTGTTATATGAGTTGGGACAAAACAAGGCCATGCATTTAGAGAGGTCTTTCGTAGGCTATGTATTTAGAGAACATGCATTTAGGGAGGTTGACTTTATATTACAATATTGAATATTGCATTAAGTATAAAGTAGAAAAAAACTATTTACGGTGTTAAAAATCACAAGACAATAAAATCGTTTTTGTTATAGTAGACGCGTTAGAAGTTATTAATTAAAGAGTCCGAATTTGGCAATATTTGATCATATTAAATAAATATCATTGGAGATATCATTGGAGATATCATTGGATGCCATTTTCATACGTAATACTGTAATATTTAATTAACTATTGGATATTCAGTACAGTCAAATATGGGCATAGCAGAACTTTTGGAACTATTCAAAAAATACGTCACATGGTTTTTTTTTGCTAATATACTGTACATTACAAAGGATTTATAAATTCAAAATCAATTATATATCTTATCCGTTATATATATGTTCGTTATATCTGTAATTGACTGTATATGAGAAAATATTTATTATTAACAATGATATGTAGTCAACTCCTACTAAGTTATTAGAGTTCGATATAAACATAAACCACCCAGTTCATTATATGGGGTGTCTCGTATTAATTGCTTATAGCAAACTTTGTTAATGAATATATATCTATTCAAAAATCAAATAAACAAACGAATTTTGAAAAATTGTCAGAATGGGCCTTTTTAATACGAGGCACTCTATATTAGGTAGGTCGTAAAGTTTTAAAGATTCCAAAATTTAAGAGCTTTATTAAATTACAAAGCTAGTTTACTGCAGAAGTCATTCTCTGCATATTCATATTCTCAGTAATAGTTTTCTTTACCAAATCTATATTCTTGTCCGCTTCTACGGTAAAAGTGTTCTCCTCGTTATTTGGCTCTTCCAAATCTTTAAACTGTGATTCTAGCATATCCATTTTCATGAAATGATTTTGTCGTTGTTGTAATCTTTCTTTTAATATTTGTTTGTTAACTTTTAAATAAACGAACCAAGCAATAATATTTTTCTCGATAAAATTCTTTCTCAAAAAATTACGATAATCAATTTTTAACGCCGAACATGATAATGAAATAGATGGAGAATCTTTTGCATTTGCTAATGTTATAACTTTATCTATAATGGCTTGTAACCATGGATAACGGTCTGAATCTTCAAGCGGAATTTTTGATTCCATTTTTTTGATATTTGATTCCGGATGTAGTTCGTCACCTTCGACAAAAGGAATATTCAGTTCTTGAGAAATTAGCTTTCCAAAAAATGATTTGCCACATCCGCATGGGCCCTTTATAAGTTATAATTAACATTTCTTAATATTTTTGTAAGTTATAATTAATATTCTTAATATTACAATAATGCGTTCTAGAGATGGGCAAAGTCAGTTACATATTATTACTTAATAATTATTTATTATTCCACGTTTCTATAAGATCGCATGACGGGGGTTTACATTATAATCACTACTTTAATCAGTAAAAAAACGGGGTTTCTAGCAATGCAAGTTATTTCCCCGGCAACGCTTGTTATTTCCCCGGAAGTCCGGGGAAATAACAAGCGTTGCCGGGGAAATAACTCGCATTGCTAAAAACCCCGTTTTTTTATTTGATTAAATTAGTGATTATGAGTTGTAAAGCCCGTCATGACATCATATAAAAACGAAGAATAATACCCTTATTTCGCCCCTACGGGGAAATAACCCGTTAGATACCCGTTATTAAGTAAGGGATAAGTCATAGGTCATTATTACTTACAAAATTACTTTGCCCATCTCTAATGCGTTCAAATTAATTTACGTAGCGGTAGTTGTTTAACGTCAATATTTTGGACTCAGGCGCCGCGGACTAAATCTCATTGGTCAACTTTAATGCGGCTTGTTTAATTTAGGGAAATGACGTTAAACAACTATTCAGCTGAAAGTGTTAATTTTTACCATCAAGACGAATACATGAGTTTGACTTGTATCGAAATATCGAGTAACCTTCGACATAGTTTTTCGAATGGATTTGTGCCTTGTAAAAAGATTTGAAACAAAAAGTCTTTTTTGATTTATAATACGAAACAAATATATGCAGGTGACCGGTTACACGAGTTTTGATCGGTCACAATTGTATTTATATCGAAATGTAGTTTTCGATCTACGACTTTTGTCGTTAATCATTTATCGTCATATGAATGAATTGATAAATTCAATAATAAAGTTTCATTGTAATATGTATATTGTACGTTAACGAATTAATCCAATCAAGTTTTTACGTATTAATGACGGTCTGTAAACTATAAATAATAAACATGATGTCCGGAAAAATCTTTAATTATTTATCGATATCGATATTACCATTATTATTCATTTTTGAAGCGGCTTTCCTATTTCCGAAAGGATTAGCTACTACGCAGTTTCCCCTTCTCCAAATTTCTTCAAATATCATTAATGACCATGTTAATGTTAGATTTTCATCAAAATCCTGGGAGGTTTGTATCTAAATCTAATTAGCTTACATTAGGAATTTTTATTTCATATACAGGAATTGTCTACATATTTATTCAATTCTTTCTACAGCTTTTGGGTCCGTTCCCTACTGGAACACGTGAACAAGATTTTGGTGCAGATCCTTTGGAAGCTTATGGTAATCATATATTGTACTTTAATAGTTATCTCTATGTTGAATATTACGCATTTCATATAACAATGTATTCATTACTATTTTGACAAAGGTGGCTTTAGAAATTTGAATTTTTCTGATACCCAATCATTCCTTTCTGAGTTGGCAGATAATGGGACGGTAAAATGGTCAACTATTGTGGAAAATATTGACGGTTCTGTTGGTCCTATACATTTTAAAAATTTGAGGTAATCTAATAGGGCATTGATAAATTACACCACTGGTGTTTAACACCATATTTACTATATTTTAAAAACTGAGTAATTAAAGCTGGGAATTCTAACTATAAAATGTTCTGATTCCCAAGAACCTTATGCAAACTAAATTTAACTATTAGTCTAATTTCTTTCTTAGCCTATAAGAGCACCCTAAATCCGAAATGTTTATAGTAAAATGAATATATGATGTTAAACACCATATTGTTCTCCCACCATATAATAGATATTCACTAATAAATAATTTTAATTATTAATAGATGGAAATTTAATAGAGATCCATTTGGCTGGGCAATAAATCAGTTCCAAATGTGGGCAAGAGGTTATTTTGAGCTTTTAGATTCTGATCTTAGAGATGAATCGGATTCTATTCCAGTTTTAGTTCAGTGTCAAAACGTTGGTGATTTTTATGTGGATGATCGAAGGCTCTTTGGTGATGTGTATGGATACAAGAATTCATGGCATGTTCTATATCTTCATCCTGGCATGCACGTTATTAACGTTCGTCTAGTGAATGAAATTCGGATTTTTGGTGGGAAAATTCCTCCAGATATTCGGTTCCAATGTTTTATAAAAAAATTGGAATTGCAACAAATTGGTGCGATGGTGTTGGACCACACTATAATTGTTCCTGATTTGGTAGACGGTTTTTTGGCTGGAAAATTTGCCAGCGTTGCAATCTTGAATACTCAAGAAAAATCTTGGATCACTGTTTCCAATGTCAATGTTATAAATAGCAATGTTAACGTAAGTTCTCAATTTTTTACATTCTCAATTTTTTACATTCTCAATTTATTGCAATTTCAGTAATTATCTAAGCCACTATTTTACTTGTTTAACAATTGATGTTTACTAATAGATGACTGCATCACTGGCCTGCGGCCAAACCTTTAATTCAAAAACCGGCATTCGTATTGCTCCATCTCAACAGCGAAACATCAAAATATATCTAAGCATTGAATCACAAGTACTCAATGGGATGTCATTATCATTTCAATTACAATTTCTGATCTCTTCTCGAACAGAAAACAAAACTATTTTTTGGTCTAAAGTCACAGATGTTATTTCAATACATAACAAACATTTTGGTGATGCATACAAATTCACATTCGAGGATTTTGACACTACGGTGCAATACGGTAGTTTTTTTTTTTATTTACGAATTTGCATAAAATTCTCTTAAAAGTGATCATGAAGATAATTACTGTTAATTGTTCTGTTTCTAAATTAAGCAATGGCAATTCCTTCTTCGGAACCATGCCAACCTTATAAGTGTCCTATATTAGTTGCTTTGCATGGTGCAGGAGTCGAAGCTAATTCAGAATTTTGGATAACTGCCTACAAAAAACAACAAAATGCATGGGTACGTATTTTATAGTGTGAAAAAGTAAAATATTTACTTGTTCTCCTGTGATATCTCCTATGATTGATTGATATTTATTATTGCATAAAGGTTCTTTTGCCTACTGGAAGAACACCATGGGGATATGATTGGCATGGTCCTAGCTTAAAGAATACTCAATCAGCAATAAAAGCATTGGAAAAATTCATGCCAGGTGTACCAAGAAATTTAAAACCGTTTTTCTTGCCAGATTCTGACAGACTATTCATCTCTGGTTAGTTGATTTTACACACACTTATAATATATATATACATATTCCTAACATACATGCTATTTACCTTTAAATATTAAAGGTCATTCCAATGGTGGTCAAGGCGCATGGTTCTTTATGTCTCACTTTCCAGATTCTGTGATTGCAGGTATGTTTCAACAATTAAGATTTTCAAGTTCTAAAATCTTTAGCGGATTGATGTTATTTAATAATTTGTGTAGGCACACCGGCTGCCGCATATACTAAAATTCAGAGCTATGTACCATATTATTGGAATAGTGAATCTCATTTAGACCCTATCCTTAAAGGAGTACGTTTCAAAACTATTAATTTGTCATTGTAGTAGGACTCGTAATTGGTTATTAAATTCTTTTGAATTTTATGTAAAAAGATCCTTGAATCATCAATTGCTGAATATAATAACGATTTGTATACTACAAATTTGGTAAGTACTGTGTATTTTATTAGGATAATTTATGTAGAACATACAGTATCGATATGCTAACACATTTTATTTGTTATTTTCATAGGTTGGCATTCCAATATTAGCAAGAGTTGGCTCAGATGATGATAACGTTCCACCTCTACATTCACGTATGCTTGTCCGTCTTGTTAACGAACATTCTGGCAATCCACAAGCCATCAAGTAAATCAATATCTATTTATTAATTTGATTGTGATTGATATATTTTAATATTTTTTTTTTTCAAACATAGGCTTTCTGAAATACCTGGCAAAGGACATTGGTTTGATAAAGTTATGAGTGATGATGTGATGCAAGAATTCTTGGATGAACATTTGAAGATTAATCATTTAAATCAAAGTGATTCATGTCCAAAGGAATTTATTATAATCTTATTGAATCCCGCAAGTTTTGGTAGTAAATGTGGAATTCAGGTTGAACAATTGGGAATTCCATTCAGGTAATTAAAATATTATTAATCATTTTATTTATTATTTATTTATTTTTATTTTTATTTTTATTTTTATTTTTATTTTTATTTTTATTTTTATTTTTATTTTTATTTTTATTTTTA